ATGTGTTCCGAACTCTATATACACAACATGAAAGATGCTTTAGAACAGTCTAGTAGATAGACAGAGAGAGAGAGGGTGTGTGTGTGTGTGTGTCTCTGAGTCTTTTTAAAAGTTGGTATAGATACATACATTAGGGGAGCTCATTTGTGTTATCAAACTAGGTCCATGAGGAGGATGAGCACAGATCTGCCCAGGAGGGTTTTCGGCTTCCGGGTTGGGGTTCCCAGCGACCCATGCCAGACAAGCCGACGGGATTGGCATACCTGGCGGACGTGATGATGCTAGGCCGCCCCTGCCTGCTCTTGGATTTCTGTGTTCTGCTCTTGTCATTTGGGCAAAGGCATTTCTTTGGCTGCGTGAGTTGCGGCCCTGAGCCACTGAGCCGTGGTGGGGATCGCCCGAAGACCCCCGAAACGCCCCAAGTCTCGAATGGTTCGACCCCAAGCACTTCGCAGAAATCTCGAACGACCTCGATCAGAACTCTAGAACTCTAGAAAACTCTTATTTGCGGCTCAGATGTTGTTCGTGAACCAAGTAGAGCCATGAACGAATGCACACCCACGGACAAGAGAGACTGGAAGTCCCCTCCAAAAGATCCCTGAACCAAACTCCTCCCGCGATAGTAAGACCTGCCCAACAGAGGCACTTTGTAGGTGCGCTTTGTTGATCAATCATCAGGTCTGGTTTTGTTTTCGCAAGCGGGGGGGGGGGGGCATATGGACGGAAGGCGGACAGCTCTACGAAACCCTAAGCCCTAAACCCTAAACCCTATGGGTGTTGGCCAGGACAGGTCTCGGAAGCCGCACGCATCCGTCGAGCGTGCCTGCGGCGGCTAGCGGTCAGGAGCAGGGGCTGAGAATTCCAGAGACTACAAAACCCCTCAATTATTAAGGAATATACCTTAAATGTTTTTAGGGTTTAGGGTTTACGGTTTAGGATTTAGGGTTCCTATCATAGTTTAAGGGATATTCCTTAATGAAGGGGTTTTGGAGTCTCTGGGATTAATCGAGTTTGGAGCCTTGCCGTTGAGGGTCTAGGCGTGATTCGTTGATGGCCTGGAAGTATAGGGGTTTGTATACTACTTTAAGGGAAATGTTGATTGTTGTGTCCTCTAAAGGGCTCCAGTACTCAAATGGTTTGGTCCCTAGGGACCCCTGGTAGAATATTGCATGTTCTAGTATGCTATAGGGCATTGTAGTATGTAATGGCATATCGTAATGTATGTTTTTGTGTACTTCAGAGAGTTAGACTATAGCATGCCAGAGTGTCGTTATTTGGCCGCTTCAAAACCCTAAACCCGAAACCCTAAACCCTAAACCCTAAAACTAAACCTAAACCCTAAACCAGTACTGCAACGCCTTCTGAGAATCTGGCATGGCATGTTGTCACATATGTTGAGGCTCGAGGCCTCGGGCCTGCTTGGGGCCTGTAGGCCGGTTTGGGGTTTAGGGTTTAGGGTTTAGGGTTTAGGGTTTAGGGTTTAGGGTTAGGGTAGGGTTTAGGGTTTAGGGTCTGCTGGTCTACCTTGCAGGAGTGCTTCCTACGAAGCCGGGCGCAGGCTGGTGCTACAGGACCTCTTCCTGAAAGAGGCCGGCCGTTGGTTCCATGACGTCCATACTGCTGCCTTGTTGGGGTCATATTCAAAATAATGGTTTTTTATTCCGCATTGGGAATTTGATATGACAATGTAAAATCATCACCAACGAGGACCCAGCATACGGCTGAAGGTCATTCAGGGCAGTTTTAAAGCTATGACATCCCTAGAAGCCCTAGAAGCCTTCACCCCCCCCCCCCCCCCCCCCCCAACAAAATCCTCATGTAGAGGGCACATCCGGGGTTCAGCTTTGAACCCCTGCCTTCCCCCCCTGCAGCTCGAAAAGAGACACCCGAGAGTACAGTCCAGGTGTTCCAGGGCACCGCCGGCTGCTACCTGCCCTACATGGAGGCCGCTCCCGACGATCCGCGGCCTTGCAGCAGCCAGAAAGTGGCTCTTCAAACCCAAATCCAGCTCTTCCATACTTACTTGAGAGAGAGAGAGAGACAAAGAAAGAGAGAGAGAGAGTGTGTGTGCGTGTATACATAAGCACATACACATATCTACATACCTAAATGTATGTGTTTATCTAAGTTTATTTGCATTTACAATTTTCGTGTATGTACATGGACGACTATCTGTATATATACAGATAGATAGAGAGACTCACACACACACACACACACACACACACACACACACACACACACACACACACACACACACACACACACACACACACACACACACACACACACACGGCACGCGTACTCACACCTTGTACATATCGCCACAATCTTCCCAGGCATCCATGGAAGAGCTCACTCTGTTTTGAGGCTGCCATAGATTATTGTAAGGCTGCAGGGTATTCTCCATCGATGTACACCCGGTAGCCAGTGCTGGGACACACAAGTAACCAACCCCAAAAGGGGTAACCCTGAACCCTATACCCGAAGCCCGAAGCCCAAGTACGTCTCCAAGAAGGCATCCTAGGCCTTTGCATCAAAAGAAGTCCTGAACTACTTGGAGGGTTCATGGGTAGGCAGATCAGGGACACGGGGGTTTACGAAAACTCGGGACCCCCTATAGAAACCCCCAAATAGTAGGACTCCCTTAGTAGCAAGGACCCCAAGAAGGTTCCCCTCACTTCGAAACTCCCCATAGAAGAAGGGCATAGCGACCTTTAGATGCCCCCAACACCGAAGTCGACCCTTGAGGCGAGTACGGACGTTGCTACAGTGGTGTGGCGTGGCCACGGAGATGGACCAGGCTTTTGGAGGGGGGGGGGGTCAGTGTCGTACTTGGGGGCGTACCTACTCTTTTGTCGGTTATCACTACCAAGCTCCGGTGTAGGGTTCTTAGGTAACATACAAAAAAAAGTAGGTTTTGGGTTCTCAAGATAGGGTTTGGGGAATTAGGTCTGGGATAAGGTGTGTCCCTTAGGGTTCTGGGATGAGGGAGTGCTTCGAGGCGACGGCATAGTGCCCCGACTTCTAAGGCTCCCCTCAATGTGGCGTAGAAACCCTACTGCTGAAGAGCCTTATTTTCGATGCCCGAAATGAACCCTATAAACCCCTCAACCCCAGAAGGGTTCAGGGTTCAGGGTTTTAGGGTTGATACCTGAAACGGCGTCTTGGACACTTGGCTGAGGCAAGCCTCATGAAGGCGCTGCGGTCCCCGGCTTAGCCTTCCCCCCGCAGTTGCGCTGATGTTCGGGTTCCCCTGTCTAAGATCGGGCCAAGTCCCCTGTTTCGGGGGCTCATGGCACTGGTGGGCCTAGACCCCAGATCTTCAGCCCATCCCCCTCCCCCCCCTCCACCCTACACCCTAAACCCTAAGCCCTAAACCCTAATCACCCTAAACCCTAATCACCCTAAACCCTAAACCCTAAACCCTAAACCCTAAGCCCTAAACCCTAATCACCCTAAACCCTAAACCCCTAAACCCTCCCAAAGCCAAGCCCTGAAGGCATATGATTCAAGAGGGGGAGTCCTGATAAGACATGCAAGGCGCATTCTGCGATTCCTCCCCAGGGTTTAGGGTTTAGGGTTTAGGGTTTAGGGTTTAGGGTTTAGGGTTTAGGGTTTAAACCCTAGACCCTAAAACCTTGTGAGGGCTTGTAAGGCTCAGGGAGTAGGAGTCTGCAGGGTTTGTGGGCTTTTGGGGTTGCACGGCTCATGAGGGTCGATTTCTGGATTTAGAGTTTACAGTTGGGTTTTCTTTGAGGGTTTGGGGTTTAGAGGCTAGGGTTGATAGGGTCCAGGGCTGCTGCTGAGTTGATGGCCTTTCTTTTTTTTGATCCCAGTTTCCGAGCAATGGGTCGACGCCCCCTAAACCCTAAGCCCTAAACCTTAAACCCTAAACCCTGAACCCTCACCCTAAACCTTGCCAAGGTTCGTGAGAGACACGCAGGTCGAAGATCTTGGCTTGGTCTCAGAACCTTGGATGCCTTTGGGCCCTAGCTCGCAATCTGCGAAGATGCGTTGAGTTGTACAAAACAGCTTCGGTTGTTGCACTGTTGTATCCTGAGCCTCAAAGATTCTGCATGGGCTGGTGTATCCCGAATGCGGATCCGCAAAGTTCTGGCCTCGAGCACCTTCCTTGTAGTAGGAGGCTGCTCTGTAGCTCCCTGAGGCATTGCTGAAGTGAAAGCGCAATGGCCCAGCCGGTCAAGATCAACATTGGCGGCGAAAAACTGGTTACTGTGTATCCAGACCTGCTTCGTGTGGCAGGCGTGAGCAAGCTCTCAACAATCGGCTCTGACAGTTGGGAGTCGCCGTTGGATTCTGATGGGAATGTGTTCGTCGACTACTCTCCTGGAGTGTTCATGCCTCTCATAGAGTGGCTACGAGAAGTTCGTGACGCTGAGCCCGGCCAGCAAGTTTTGGTACAAGTAGAGGACAGGCGCAGAAGCGCGTGGATCCGCATGATGGGTGCCTTCGCCTTCCCTCCGCAGCTCCTGCGTCTGGCGGGTATCGGAGCTGGCGAGCTAGCAGCCATGGGATTTTCTGCTTCTCACCTTCACTCGGCTGCAGGGTTCAGTGTGGAAGAGCTCGTCCTTGCCGGCTTTCAGGCGGCAGCCGTGAGAGATCTTTTGAAAGACGGTGAGCTCACATCTGTGCTGAGCAACGTGCGCCCAAGCGTGGGGTCGTGGACGCTTGCCGAGCTGGAATCTCGTGGCTTCACGGAATCGGAGTTGACAGCTGCAGGATTCATCAGAGAGGAGTCAGGATCCCTCTTCGGGGCTCCCTCAGGATCCCTCTTCGGGGCTCCCTTGTTCGGCTCCGCAAATCGAGGACTTTTTGGCTTGGACGATGCCACCTCGAGCACTTTGCCTGCTGCGACTGCCCCGCAGTCCCGATCTGGAACATTTCCCAGGCTCCTAGAGCCCTTCAATAAAGCTGGCCTGACAGATGACAGTTCGGTCCACCCAGCAACAGCCCCAACAGATGACAATGAGCTGTGAGACGCATGTTGCACGTGTGTGTTGTAGGAGTCGCATATTCGCATATGAACTCCTGGCTTGGCCAAGCTAGGTGGAAGCAGGCGCGAGTGAAAACGACTATGTCACATGCAAGCATGTGTATATGCATGTTGCAGATTGCAAGTTTCAGGCGCAGTCTACCTTTGCAACCATCAAGATTTTCCTGCTCCTCAGAGGGTGTTAGCCTATCGCAACTCAAGTCCTAAGGAAATCTACCGGCTGTTGCGCGAACACTCTTTCTTCCCTGGCAGCGAGAAGATGTTCCTGGTCCCTGGCAAAGGCCGCGGCACGTGCGCCTAACTTGATTATTCTTGGGTTTTCTCAGACCTGCAATTGGGGGTTGAGTTCTGATAGCCGCTTACAGGGTGCATGTTCTACGGAGGGCAGGGGCGGGTGTCAGGCCACGTGACATCATGCAAGGCAACTGCGCAAAATTGCTTAAACCAAAACCCTATAACCCGCCCGAAGTGCTGCGCATAAGCTCCTAATCTTTGCCAGCCCATGTGACATCACATACGTAATGTTTCAGCAAAACATGCCTAAACCCACAATCCGCCCTGAAATGCTGAAGCACTACACCCTAAACTTCTAAGCTCTGTCAAGGCCAAAATCAGCCTACAAGCCTACAATCCCCTACGCGTTACAATCATTCCTAAACTCTGTCGGGCCACATGAGATCATACAAACTTGCAGCCCAGCAGTCCGCCTTAAAGGTTTAGGGTTTAGGGTTTAGGGTTTAGGACTGCACTCTAAACTCCTGGCTGTGTCAGGCCAAGTGAAAGCACGCAAACCTAGACCACAAGCATCCTAAGGTCCGCAATCCACCAGCAGAGTCGTTTTTGTCGAACTACCTCCGCTTCGAAACTTCACGACTGCCTGCAATCCGAGTCTATGGCTGGATTGCCCTAAGCCCTAAACTCGAAACCCTTAAACCTTAAACCCTGAAACTCTGAAACTCTTAAGCCCTTAAACCCTTAAACCCTTAAGCCCTTAAACCCTAAAACCCTAAACCCCAGGAAGTTTGCTCCCGGAGGTTACCTGGCAAGGGAGCACTGCGTTTGGAAGCCTTTCAGCGTCGATTTGCGAAGCCCTCAGCTTCTTTTTAACGCAGGGGCTGGGTAGTTCGTTGAACTCTAACCTCATTGGTTACATAGAATCCTATTATGTATCAACAGTTAACCATGTTTGGGCTCGGGTATTCAACCCCTCATAGCCTAAGTTGACGTGTTTCCAGGGGCTATCGATTTAGGATGCTTGCTGAACAGAGGGGTGTGCATCAGTATGTTCACTGGTTGGTCCACGTGACCTCTCATGGCAGTTTCAACAACACGAACTCCAAACCTCAACCCCTACACAGATAGAACCCAGCATCCGACGTTCGAGGTTGTGAGGCTCCTGACAACCCTAAATCCTAAACCATAAACCCTAAACCCTAAACCCTAAACCCTAAACCCTGACCCGTAACCTCTCGTACGCACCATCCCCTCGGAGGCTCCAGAGGTGCTGCAACCTCGAGGCAGGTCCTGGTTGGGATGCCGCGCAACCTGCAGAGTTAGGGTTTAGGATTTAGGGTTTAGGGTTTAGGGTTTGGGGTTTAGGGTTTAGGGCTTAGGGCTTAGGGCTTAGGGTTTAGGGCTTAGGGCTTAGGGCTTAGGGCTTGGGAGCTAGGTTCAGGGTTCAGGGCTTAAGGTGTATGTTTTAGGGTTTGGGCTTTGCAGATCGCTCGAGTGAAGGTATACGGCTTCGATTGAGCACGTACCTTAATCGAGGACTTCGGGGGTTTGAGGAGGCACTGTGCACTATCGTGACAGTGGACCACCTAAGATTGCCCACGTTGAGTGCATTGCTGACTAACAACCCCGCCTGTCTTGCCAAGACAGACCCTTTGTCTGTTCCAACCCTACCATGAAACTCCCAACCCCCGAATCCCACCCTGTGGCATTCAAGGTAGGGTTGTGGTCCTCGAGCACGCGCCCTCCCCTAGAAATCCTAATCCCTCACAGGTTCTTCTGGAGCACTACAGCCGATTTGGGATGGGAGTCAGGCACAGGGTTGATAAACCCTAAACCCCAAACCCTGAACCGTAAACCCTAAAACCCTAAAACAATTGTTTTAGGAGGCATGTCTTGTTGGGCTTCTCAGGGTTTCTTCTGGAGGTGAATTAATGCTTTAGGGTTTATGGGGCGGGGGTTCCCATGTTTCGTACTTTTGGGGTATACGCAGGGGGGACCTCCATCCGAGGAATTTCCCATAAAGAAACGTTAACAGCAGAGAGACCTGATGCTTTGGGATGTGCACGGGCCCAGGGGGGTTGAGGGCCCCTTCAGCCCCAAACTCCAAGAACCCTAAAGGGTGTAGTGTAGAGCTTAAGGGATTTCAAACTCTAAGAACCCTACACACCCTAACCGTAGCCCCTAAACCCTAAAAACTAAACCCCAAGATTTGTTTCAAATCTTGCGCCCAAGCTCCTAAACGTTTGGGTTACGGATTGGGTGCACCTTAGTGTTCTCAACGTCTCCAACACCTAGAGTTTAGGGTTCGGGTTAGGGTTCAGGGTTCATGCTATATTATATTACGCTAAGCCGAGTAACCATGTATTGTTATCTACCTGAAAGAGGGGAAATTCAGTAATTCGTGGGTCCGCAAAAAGGTTGCTCTAGGTAGAGCTTATACCCTGATCGCCTAGATAAACCTCAACCCCCGATCGCCTAAGTCCCTGAACCCCCCAACCTACGCCAAGGAAATCAGGTGCAGAGGTTGTCATTTTTGGGGTTTTGGGTGGGTTTGGGGGGGTCTCAAAACCCTTCTTCCCCCCAACTCCCGCCACCAGGCATGCTCTCACCTCCTGGATTATGGCTTCTTGGTACATCGAGTCCTTAGAACTTCTCTGGGGTCCAGAGTTTAGGGTTTTGGGTTGATGGGATTGACGGTTTCCAAACCCTTCACCCAAAGTCCTGAACCCTTGGTGCCTCAAACCTCAAAAAACCCTCCTCAAACCTGTACACCCCCAAGCCCGAGGGTATCTCCAAAGCGATACCCGGGGAATCCGACGACTTTTGTAAGCACGCGGTGTGGGGTTTAGGGTTTAGGGTTTAGGGTTTAGGGTGTAGGGTTTAGGGTTTAGGGTTTAGGGTTTAGCATGTTTAGGGCTTGTGGGACAGGATGCACCCCAAGGTGCCCGCTCTCAGCAGGGTAGCTCAAGTTCTATTTCGTTGACACTTGTTTGCGCTTGCAATACGGGATTTCCATGGATTTCCATTTTGTCCCCTGAAACCTCTACTCTAGAACATTCACGCCGCAATCCCTGACCTACGATTGTTTTCAGGGAGCCCAATACACCTGTCTGTAATTCAGCCGTGTTCCTGAAACTATGCAGCCTAGCGCTCCTCATCATGATCCTTACGGGTCTTGGGCTCTCGGACACCTTTGGCTGCAAAGTTCTCCAAGGAGAAGCCCGAACACTCCGCCGCACAGCTTTGCGATGCCCTTCTACAGGCCATCGACTGCCCCATGGCTGAATACAGTGTTACAGGAGCCCTATAAATAGTTGACAAGACTGTCCCCTTGCAAGCCTTGACTTCGCGGAGTATTCGTTCTAGTTAAAGCCCAGAGGGTCCATTTGTAGTACTATTATGGAATTAGGTACCCCAAAACCCTATTCAGTATGGTTTTTGGGTACCTAATTCCATAATAGTAATACAAATGGACCCTCTGGGAAGAGGCCTCTGTAAAATCCAGCGCGGGGGATCGCAGCCTGGTTCCTTTACCTGGGTTGCTCGGAATTCAGGTCTTACCACGATGGGCTGTTCTACCCTGAAGCCCCTTCAAAAGGCTCTAAATAGGGTCGATGATGGGGATTATGAGAACCCCAAACTCTGAACCCTAAGCCCTAAGCCCTAAACCCTAAACCCTAAGCCCCAAACCCTAGACCCTAACGAATAGCCCATCCTGGTGTAGGGTAGGTGGCATGCCCATGCCATCCACGTCTCCAGTCCAGCCACTTAGGCTCGCGAGCAGCCTGGATGCAGCGAGGAACCATGGGTAGGGTTTAGGGTTTAGGGTTTAGGGTTTAGGGTTTAGGGTTTTAGGGTTTTAGGGTTTAGGATTTAGGGTTTAGGGTTTAGGGTTTAGGGTTTTAGGGTTTAGGGTTTAGGGTTTAGGGTTTAGGGTTTAGGGTTTAGGGTTTAGGGTTTAGGGTTTAGGGTTTAGGGTTTAGGGTTTAGGGTGTAGGGTTTAGGGTTTAGGGTACCTTGTCTCAGTGCCTTAGGGTCTTGGGGCTTCGAGATGTCGGGCGGTGGGCTGAGCCTTGGCTAAAGCAGCTCCGACATGCCACAGAAGACTCCCGATACCTTGACACACCATCCGACCTCCATCAACAACCCGAAGCCCGAAACCCTAAGCTTCGAGGGGCTTACGAAAATCGGGGACCCCCAACATGGATCCGCAAATAGAAGGATCCCCTTATATTGTGGACCCCAACAAGGTACCCCTAATTTCGGAAACCACCTTATAAAACCCAGAGGGTCCATTTGTAGTACTCTTATGGAATTATGTACCCCAAAACCCTATTCAGTATGGTTTTTGGGTACCTAATTCCATAATAGTAGTACAAATGGACTCTCTGGGAAAGCCCTGAATTGAGAGTCTCCCTAGGTCCATCCTTTTCGGCCAGAACGCATGGCTGGCAAGGCGCCTTTGACTGAACGAGCGGAGTGTTCAAGCTGAGACGGGGTTTAGGGTTTAGGGTTTAGGGTTTAGGTTTAGGGTTTAGGGTGTGCTGAATACTGGAAGCCCGTCCCTGACTGCCTATACATGACTCATGACCAATCCACTTCTGAACGGATCTCCAACCCAGAACCTCTGAGAAGATCTCAAAAGTAGATCCCCTCAAGGGTTCCTAAGAATGCCCCAATAGTAGTATAGGGTACTATTTGAGGGTTCTACTTTTTGGATCCCTTTCAGGGGTCTGGGAAACCGCACTG